GGTGCATGGCACGTGAGCAAACGCGCATAGGACGACGCACCAAGACCTCCTCGAGCATCCACTTCGCGTCAAAGGCCCGGGCCTCCCCCTTTTGTTCTGTCTCACTCGTCGAGCGTAGTAATCAACCCGCCATCCCCGACGTCGCTTCCCCTCTCCCTTCGGCGCTTGTAAACAGAATCACCCTCTGAAAGGAGAATCAATTTCCCTGCGGGCGGAGAGGGCGAGGGAGGATCGCGGCGGAAGGCTCTCGTATCCATTGGCGATTGGACTTGACGTTTTTCGCCCATTATCAATATTTGAGTGATACTTCAGAGAACAAAGAATTGATGACATTCGAAAGAGGAGGGGAGAGTGTCCGGAAATGGCTATCGATTTGATAAGTTTCGCGAGACATCCGCCGAGGTGTCTGTTAATCTTTTGCGAGAGAGACGATGAAGACTCACGCGATCGCGGTTGTCTCGTCAGCCGAGATAGAAACAGGTGCCGTTTTCTTGACGCCTATTCGAACGCTAAGTACATCTTTCTATAATTCTTAAAAATGCAACAACCTTATACGTGTGAGAATATCAAAACTTGGAGTAGAAAGTAACGATCGCGATGAACTACACGGAAAATTTGCGAGCCGATCACCGAGAGCCCGGCTAAGGCGAGCGCGCGACATTTTGTGTCGCAGAAATTAATAAACGCACGTCGGAGCCGGTCGCGATAAATCAAGAGACGTTCAGCGATCGCCGCCAGCCACCGCACGTCGGCTGGGTCTCGTAGAACATTGCTTTACGGCAAGGCTGTAAAATGGCGCGAGATTACCGGCAGTCGGGCGTTACCGGGCGTAATTTCCTCATAAACGTCGAAATGAAATAGTTAGACTCGCTCGAGCACCTAAACTCAGACTCGGGGCCTAAGGTAAATACATCTAATTCCGAACGTTCAGGGGATAACTATGACGATCGTTTTCACCGTAATTTACGACTCGGGGTTCAGGGCCGCATAGCCGTCGCAGGGGCGTTGAAAGCTCGAAAACATGCTTTTTTGTTTCGCGAAGGGAAGGTGCATGACCTCGACGGCGCGGGTCTGGAGTGAGCGAGACTCGAAGCGTCTCGTTCGAGTCGCCGAAAATCTGACGTCAGAAGCAGGTGCATTGCTTTCCAAGGGGTTTGTCTCGGTCGAGTTCCACGAGAATGCATCGCGGGTCGCTTCGTCACACGCGTCCACGGGAACCTTTCACCTTTCTCTCTCCCTCTCCCTCCCTCGGAGTCGACGCGACGGTGATTTACTCCCCGTATGCGGGTGTATTGCGAATGCGACGGCGTGACGTCATTTTGCGAACGCATATGTGTCGTCTCTATACGTGCAGCCACGCGGTGTCGCCTATTGTGATCCTTCCTGCCCGGATTAACCGAAATCAATGAGCCGATGGGGCAGCTGCGAGCCAAATAGGATCCGCAGGGAAGCCTCGGATTATCGCCGTCGCCCCCTTCCTCCCCCCTCCCCCGTTCCCCTCTCCGCGACGTACCTAACCGCGAGTAATTGATGTTTGTTTTCGGGCGCAAATATTTTTGGTTTGTGCCGGGGCGGATCGTTTCTCGTCTATCCGCGCAAATCCTGCAAGATTCCTCGAGATATTCTCTTCCTTCTGGACTGTTACCGCGATTTGTCCGACCGGAGAGTCGCGGGCAATTCGCGACGCGATAGATTTCATGTGTCGGGGATTGAAAGGGAAAATTGAAATCGTAAATGGGTACTCGACGATCTCTGGCCTTCGCTTCCTGTCACCCACCCTCCCGCGTGTGACACACGAGTCACCCCTGAATCCGCAGTTTGGCTTGAGATTAAAGTCGTTTTTCATATTTCGCGGCTGGTGTTGCGCGAACGATGACACTCGAGAAATATCTAGCCGCTTGTGGGCGGAACAGATAAGCTCTTTTTTTCCGTGTCATAACGCTAATCGAACTGTTTAATATTTGTCTCGCGAAACTGATCGCGGCGTTTACGGCGGTCGTTTATCCGAAAAATAAATGTGCTGAGAGGTGGCAATGGATACAAGCAGACACTTTACCAAATTGACGACATATTCTCTTTCTATGTTATTCTATCAGTAATTGAAAATCCCGCTGTTAGCGGACACGATATTACGGTTTACACAGTCGACGTTAATATTTTATTGGCGTATCGGCGAGAAATATTTTTTCCAGCGGACGTATTCCACGACGTGGCGAAAATACGATAAACTGCGCTCCATTATGACTGTCTCCGACGCGAAAAATTTATTCGCCGAAAGGAAGATTCGAGGGGAATAATTTGCAAGCGCGCATCGGAGTACTCCGCGCCGTCGGAGCTCCCTGGATGCTTTAAAAGCATCATCGTCCCATGCTCTCCGACCAGCCCTAGCAACGCTATTGATTTCCTACATCCCCCTGCGAGAACTATCTCGCAGAATTTACCCTCTTTCGTGGAAATGCGCCCTGCGAGATCATGAAACTCACGCGCGTCATATAATAAAGCAGCCCCTACGATTCGCGATTCTTTCGCGTAATATCGCTATTGTCGCATAGGAAATCGCCGCTCTTGTAATAACGATTGGAAAAAAGTGAAAAGCTATCTCTGCTGTGCTTTCAATACTCCTTCTCATTTTGCTTACTTTTTAGTTTTATGCGAGAAACTTAATAGACGATATATTCTCTTAAAATAAATCAGTGAAACGTCACCAAAAACAGTGAATATACACTGATTTGCAGTTATAAATGTTGCACTGAAAGTGCTCAGTGCTATACTTATAACTGATATCAGTGGCTATTTATTGATTCACTTTAAAAGAGTATGTATATATCAAATGTTTATATAGATCATAGATATTTATATAATCATGTATCAGTATGACATGTGATATCAATAATAGACAATTTTATATGGATATTTGACAGTGTGATCAGCACATAAAATATATAAGAATACGACGAACATGTATGAAAAATATCTGCGCGATTCTGGCGTAATATTTCAATAACACATTCTGAAGTTCAACAGAGAGATGTTGGAAATTTTCAATGCGATTTATTTTGAATGCGATCATTTTGAAATATCGAAATTACAGCTGTTTCCAAGTTACAATTGACCAGAGTAGTGATATCGCGATGATATTGCGTTTATTTTGCAAAAATAAAAAAAAATTTCGACTTCAAGCTTCAGGAAGTGTGCCATTAAAATATCATTTTCCACGTTGATAATCAATGCGATTTTTCATGCACTACATTATATGACACTCTGTGAGTGTTGAAATTCAGCACTCACCATTTCGCGTCGAGATTGCGCGTTGTTCAATGACGTCCAACCAGCCAGGTTACCCAACAAGCCTCATCCGGGATCCCGCGATGTCCCGCGTCGATTGCGCTTCCCTACACTTCAGGGCACTCACGGCGCGATTGATATTCGCGTTTTAACGGCGCTTAACGAATATTTAACGAAACGGCGGTAAAACATAATTTGATTTATGTCGAGATGGAATCTATAAATTCGTTCATTAATGACGGCTGAAATTTGTTAATTCGATTAACGAATATTCATCGAAGTAGAGCGGATTCTCGGCAATTTCGCGGAACACACTCGCGGCGCGATAAATTCCAACGTCATAGAAATACTCGCGAAATAGATAATCGCGTGTAAAAAATCGCGAAATCTGACGCTGCGGAGATACACTTGCGAATCACGAATCGCGTGCAAAAAATCGCGAACCAATGGCCGATCGCGAAGTCAATCAACCGTACGCGACCAAAATAATCGATAGCGGTGTGAGTTTTTCACGCACGATGACTTCGCGATTCCTCAGCGAAGATCGCCTCGCGAAAACTGCTTCGCGATACTTTCACGAAGACTGCTCCACAATTGTTTTGTGAAGACAGCTCCGCAATTCTTTTGCGAAGACAGCTCCGCAATTCTTCTGCGAAGACAGCTCCGCAATTCTTTTGCGAAGATTACTCCGCAATCTTTTGCGAAGATTACTCCGCAATATTTTTGCGAAGACCACTTTTTCAAAGTGTTTTCCCGAATTTAATTCAACGATAAATATTCTTCGAAGAACGTAATCGCGAGCGTATATATGTGTAAAATAAAAATCTAGGAATAAAAATCGAGAAATCGCGACGGTTGCAAGAGTTATCACCGCGTATATAGACGAAATATAACTAAATATAACTAATGTTGTTATCTGAAGTTTCTCTCGACCAAGGCTTCTCGTCCGTTTGACGATCGTATACTCGCGTGTAAACAAACAAACAACTTTTGGTTCGTATTCCCAATTATTTTTCTCGAACTACTCATATTACCGTATTTAGCGCAAGATACTCTATACGTAAATAAAATTGGGAATAAAATACGATAACGAAATAATTCCGTTCGTCTGTTACATAGTAACATTTCGGCTTGTTATCGACCTTCGCGAAATTTTGCTAAATTTAATGAGATTTCTATTCCTTTGTAAAACATAACCACAATGCAAGAGCACATATGAAAAATTGAGAAAACTAATAATTCCGCGGTCACGAAAGTTAATTCGACGCGAGCATAGAGCTCTAGGGGGTGGTGCAATTTTGAAGATGCACATTGTATATTGTTCAAAATAATTAGGGAATCATACAGATATGTATAGTTCTGTTGAATAATTATACAGCGTATAATACAGCTTACATTATACGAAAGACTTCGTCAAAATACCATATTTGAAGAAATATTGAATATAAGAAGAATTATTGAATATAAAAATTTTGTGGATATATATTTGAGAAAGAAGTATTTAATGTTCGAAATATATAATGCATACATTCAAACAAGTGATTCCCTAATTGTTTGGATCAATATATTTCTTACAATGTAAAAACCCAAAAGCATGCAAAAATTTAGCAAACTAAATCGCATTGATTTATTCAAACGAGATTTATAAATAGTCGTCAGCTAAAATATTTGTTCCCTTTCACCTTTCAATTATTGAATCCACTTTTCTCACTTACCAAAATGTCGGAGCTCAAGGTCGGCCACATTCAGCTTACAGATCTAGAACAAAAAGACAATTTGCATATTAGATTTGATTTTGGCTCAACAAAGATGCGCGTGAACAGATCGGAATAACCTTTTGGGATCGTAATTCAACGATTTTTATTCTGACAACTATATCTCAGCTTTCGATCGCAAAGGGTTAAAGGAAAAAATATAGAGAATAAGTCTGTGAAAGTACCTTCGAGCCGACCATGCTTGGCCCGAACCGGATCCTCCGATACGGCATCTGCATTCTGGAACTCCAGCTATCTTTGCAACGCAGTCCCATAAGCTCTGCCACAGATCTGAAACAAAGTAGTTTTCTTAATTAGTTATAGTACAATAGAAAGAGATTGCTCGATTATGATGAATCGGGAATACGAAGCTAATAGATAAGAAAATATTAAAGATACAAGAATCTCTCTTTCCCGTTCTTATGATATATTTCTTTTTAAAATATAAGGAAAGCGAAATATGGTACGCGCAGAAAAAGGATTAGTCGAGCTAAAATAAATATGACTGTGGCAGCTAAGACGTGTTAGTTATTAAACAGGGACAACTACCGAGTCTCTAAATTTGTTAGTTATTTAAACTTCGACGTTAAAGCAAAAAATATTCACTACTAGATAGTTTACTATTTCACTTTTCTTTTAAATTGCATTATGTCCGTCAAAAACATAAAGCTAACGCTTCGCACGATCCGAATCAAGATATCCTATTGGTTTGTAGCATAAAGCAATAATTAATGTTGACTTTAATACAAAAATCAATGTCTTTCATACTTATATGATTATACTATTCAATGCCGATTCCGTAGAAAAACTAGACAGAAAGACGGGAAAATTTTATGTTCGTCGAATGCGTGGTAATTTTCCCCGTTAAATGAACTTTGTTTCAACCTGTTACGACGTCTACGAGTGGAATTATTGATGTTTTTATCGATCCGCGCTCTAGATTATTCGGCGCTGTCGGTGTAGCGAGCGGCTCCACGTGGATCTACGTGACGAGTGAATGGAATGCGGAGCGCGACTGTGTGGGGAGTCACGTGCGCGGAATGCGACAGCGCGTTACCCCCACTCCGCGGCTCAGATAAGCGCCGGCACCGCCCTCTCGTCTGCCCGCTCGCTCGTCGCAGCCGCGCGGTCATTCACCTTCGCGCTTTAGGAGCGAGCGGTGCGCCGGTGCGAGAACAAGTACGTATCCAAGTAGAACAGTAGCCCTATTCTGTAACTCGTTATTGGAGTTAACGATAGTTTCGTTATCGTTGCGCAGCTGTTGTGTACCGTAGAAAAGCAGCGCAACGATAACAAAACTGTCGTTAATTCCAATAACGAGTTACAGAATCCCAACACAGGTTGCCTATTGGTTAACGTTCTTAAATTAACTTTTGGAACATATCTATAAGATAACAAGTCAATGTCAATATTTCGTCTCTATTAATATGACATCGATTAAATAACAGTTTACAGTTGGTTAATAGCTAGTTCATTTACGCATCTTACAGTTATCATTTGATATATATTTAATTTGTATGTACCAACTTGATACTTTTATATTTAAATGATATCTTTTTGGATATTAAAAGTTATCTTTCGGGCGGACATTAGATAACCTTTTCAGTAAACAGAAACTTAACTTTTTTACCGAAAATAAAGTTATTAATGACCTAATTTTATATAGTAAAATGAAATACTTTAAGATAACGTTGTTCTACTTGTTAACTTAGAATTTTGAGTTCAAATCTGACGTCGACGCCGCGGCTTTAAACTGCTATAACCCCCGAATAAATCGATATAGTAACATGAAACAAATTTTTGGCATGCATTTCTGTATGTGTCTACCGGTATTTCATTAATTATTCGAGACAGTCGAATATTGTGACCCATTTAAGCTGTTCATTATGAAAGCTCGGCTATTTAAACGGGGGATTGATATACCTTTTTGTCGGCTTTTTTAGTTCCAACATCCGTTTAATTTTAACTACCGGTTAAATCCCAATAGTGATTGGTTAATTCTGATTAATTCTTCTTAATGTCAAACGCGATTGATCAAGTCCAATGGAATAACTAGCCAGTTAACTGAACCTTAATCTTTGTTACGTTTTCTACGTTTTAAAGGATATATCGACCTACCGTTTAAATAGACAAACTATCATAATGAACAGCTCACAAACGGATCACAATATTCGACTGTCTTGAATAATCAATGAAAGAGCGGTAGACACGTACAGAAATGCATGCCAAAGATTTTTCATATCGCTATATCAATTTATTCGAGAGTTATAGCCGTTTAAAGCCGCGACATCGACGTCAGATTTGAACTCGAAATTCTAGTTTACGTATTTGTTCTCACCCCGGCGCACCGTTTGTTTCACATTTTCGCAATCAAGTGCTGTATTGTGTTTTGAATGGACGACCGACGCGCACTTCTTTAGATTACGTGTAAACGACATGTGTACGATGACTGACGTTTCTGATTGTGTATCGCGACTAGTGATACGTCCACTTGCGATCGACTAGTGATTAACGTAAAACGACTTTTAGATATTTTCACCATTTTGTTGGACGAAAAATACGCGACGTACGTGTGAATCTGTGAAAGATTAAGGATTTTTTCAAAGTGTTTATTATATACTGTGATCACTCGGTTATTTAGTCGCGCCTGTTTTGATTTTATATTGTGTTGTGTACATTTTTATTATTATTTCGGCGGGTGTTGTTTTGAATCGGCGAGCGATGCGTGCTTCCGTGTAAATATGTATCAGTTACAATTATGGCGGATGATAAAAATATTTTCGGAATATTTAAGTGTCTGTCGTAAATCGCATTAATTAACATGCGTTCCTCTGATTAAATCGCGTAGTGTTTGCGCGAGTGTCAGTGCCACGATAAAGTATCTGAAGCAGCAGGAACGGGATGCTGAGTCGGGATGCTGAAGCCGACCCAAGAAGGATGCTGGGACACAGATAGGGAAGCATCATATATTGTTAGATATGTTAAATCATTTATTATAACCAGATATTTCGATTTTCGACCAGATTTTTATGGATATTTGACGAAATTATCGAAGATGTATCCGAGTCGAGGTTCAAGTCGGCATTCATAGTCCGTCACAAATCAGTTAACTGACAAATCAGTGGCGTAGCCAGGGGGGGCTAAGGGAGCTGCAGCCCCCAGAAATTAATTTTCTGGGTTACGCTAAGTGTAAGAAAAATTGTTTCGAATTGTTTCATTTTTTTACTCGTCAAAAATAAAAAGTACAGCCCTCCCTGAAACATTTTTCTGGCTACGCCACTGTGACAAATAATTATAGCTATATTCTGTCAATACTAGAATCTCTGGTTATTCGTAAAATTATTTATCAAATGAAGTTACAAGCTGAATTTGATTGCTTGAAAGTTATCTTGAACATTTTTCTATTGAAATTTTCGACTAATTTGCCCTGAAAGTGTTCTATTAAAATATTAGACGATATTTTGAGGGCGTCTTGCGTTCACCGCGATGTCATAACTGCAAACGTCTCATTTATATTTCCGTGACGTAAACGCGACCTCTATCTGAAGAACAATGTCTGCAGAGTGGAACAATTCAGAGTGACGTTTCCGTCGTACACTTACCAGCGCAATTCTGAAAATACACACGGGCTTAGGAGAGCGCTCGGCGTTCGAATGGGTTTGACGCGACCTCGCGAAGATACGACCGGAGTATCGAGATGTATTTTTGTCCCCGCAATTGACAGCGACACACGAAGTGTCCGAAATCGTGGAAATAATTCGACGTGGCGCCAAGCCACGTTCGCGAAAAAAATTGTAAATCGAGCCACGAAATCGATGGTAATGCAGGCGCCGCCGCGAGCGCGAGACATTTATTCTTACTCAGAATCTGAAATGTGTATTCGCGATAGCACGTGCGCGTGCGAGACACGTGACCGTTTTTCGCGTTACCCAGCGTGGCAGCGTGCGCTGCCTCGCGATGTCTCGCGACGACAAAACGGTCCAGGAAGACGACTCTTCCGTCATGTGTACGTACGTGCACCTCGCAAACCTGACGCGGCCGCTAAACGCGAGTATCGATGTCTCCGTCTGACGCCGTGTCGCTTGAAAAAATATTCTCAAGAATACCGCGCATCTCGACAATTTCTCTACTCTCCAAAGTATAATCAGCGTATTTCCTTCATGGAAGTGCTTATAACTGGTGCTTCAGTCATAAGCATAGCACTGCAATCAGACAGAAATCCCGCTGAAAAGATCAGTTAACAGTATCGACTAGTTTGTATTATTGATGCAATTTGCACACGCAAATCGCGAATGCAGGCCGTTAATTCCATCGCCACAAACGCGAAAAGTTGGATTTGACACGACGTATAATAGCGAATATGTGTACTACAGATTTTATATTGAAATTTCATTAGTCAAAACAGTCAAAATCAATAAAATACAAGATAGAGTAGTAAAGTGGAAATGCTTCCACTGAAAACCGGTGAATATATTCACTGATCGCCGGTGAAATATTCCTTTTACTGATACCATCAGAAACATTCACTTTCGAGAGTACGTTTCTACAATCCATAATCTTAAACGACACATCACGCGCATGATTTGCCAATATTATCTCTACGTCTCAACGTCAGAAATGGCCTATACCGTTCTGTCCTTTCTCGTGAAGAGCGCAGCTCGCGTCGTTCGTTGACATCTTCGATCGGCGGTCCCGTGATGAACCCCGCTGATCCTTTCGTCACTTATTAAGCGTTTTGTACGGCACGGTGGAGGGAAGTACAGCAAGCCGGTGCCGGATTTACCGTCCGCTTCGGGGTGCCGGCCGAGCGCATAAGTAACAGGGCGCACGGGGCGCGTGTAAAAGAATTTCAGCGCGTAAGTAAATTCCGCTGTTTACGGTCTATCGGGGGGTACTTACTCGCGAGTCGCGCCGGCACCCCCATCGCGCGCGCACGTGTGCGCGCTCCACGGCGCTTCCGCCTGCTCAGGTACGCTCCCGTGGAAGTATTCGCGCGCAAATATTTCGTCGGGTTTACCACGCGATCCGACGATGCGGCCGCGGCTGTGCGGAGGCTTTAACGGAAAATCGCGCCCGATCGTTCCCGCTTGTCTGCCTGTCCTCCGCGCTCGGCCGTGCGATTTTTCGCGCTCCAGTATCGGAGCCGGCAGGCCGGGAGGTCCGCATAATATCTCCATTTGCCGGAACGACGATGTGCCGACCGCCCGGTACCGGCGACGCGTTTATTTACGAGGTGAGCGTCGCAGTTAAATCGCAGATAGCA